GACAACTAACTATGATTCAAGGAATGCAATGAAAGAACTGCCCTTTGAGAACAATCTAAATTAGATGTCGATCATCTTCTGATGTTACGTAATCTATACCCACTCAGAATCATAGATGCTATAAGAGATTTCATGGTCCATCACGATTGTTTTCACGCTGTGAAAGAATAATACTCCATTTTCGAATTCCAAGCGAATAGACCCCTTGCAGTTCATGGGAATGCGGCTCCAACTGGAGGACAAAACAATAGATTTTAGTTCCCAAGAGGATAAAAATCTTTTGTTTTGTCCTCCAGATGAAGCTGCTTTGACGTCACATGCAAGGGGTCTATAACCGTTATTTGACAGCAGATTCAGTTACGCAAAGAACTTACCAAACACAAAAGAAAGCACGAGAAAATGTTGTTAGTACAATAGGGCTAACAATTTACATTTTCCCCGAGTTGAGGATAACCCTGTATTCCCAGAAGGCTCGGGGAAAATGCAAGTTTTCAAGGCTATTGTAATAACGGCATTTTCTCGTGTTCTCTTTTGTGTTTGGTCAGTTCTTTGCGCAAGAGAATCTGTTGTCAAATAAAGCAGCGGTTTTTCGAAATGAACTCGAAACTGGAGTATTAGTGTAAACCTGTTGAGCTAACTTGTTGCCTAAAAAAAACCCAAGAGAAACCAACGAAAAACTTATCCCCTGAAGGATGTATCGAAATTTTAATGGGAAATTAAAAAAAATACGAATTATAGGCCGAGAACATACGGCGTATTTCACTTGATGGTAACCCTGAATCATTCGGTTTAGTAAGTAGCGCCATTTCGGGATTTAACATTTCTACTGCCAGAATATTTTCAATTTTTCTCTGAATATTTTGATTTCATTTGATATACCCGGTTTGGATTAATGGAATCGATAAAAGATTTTCACAATCGCCACGTTATTTTATTTTTCGGACATTTTTTGCCTTTTTTCTCAATAGGAGATATAAAAGTACAAGCAGTTCTCCCCACCCCTACCCCACCAACTTTTCCTTGACGGTGGGAACTAGCGGTAAACTAGTGTGAGCTGCGCCGGTGTTTCTAAAGAAACAGTTATGTAAAAAGATAAATTTAACACCGTAAAAAAGTATGTGGAATAACTTACTGACGTTGCGGATGTTAATCCTTCGTCGGAGTTTAGCTACTATACATTTTTTCCAATAAAACAATGAAAGGCCTCCCCCCATGATGGTTGAGTTCCCACATTACATATCATCACAAGTCTTCACACGTTTTTTAAACCTGACAGTGAATAATAGATTACTTTTAAAGTGAATAATAGATTACTTTTAAAGGCTAACACACAAAAATTATAATCTGTAAGTCGGACAACTGGTCAACAAGATTAAGAAAGATTTTTCAAATATT